TTTCAGGGGTATTAGCCATGAGTCTTGCCATAGGTGAGTAAAGAATGTTAGTTTTTCTCCCCTATAATATGACATATAAAAAAGTAACAGAACATAATAATGTAAGGTAAATTTACATTAAATTTAAGCAAGAGAAAAAAATTCTTTCTCAACTCTAAAATTAAAAAAAATATATTTCCAATAGGTTAATTCATGTATATTATGTAAATCAGGGCTGAATAGAACACTGTTAAAATGTATGCATTTATGTGCTATTTACAGAACATGAACAAATACCTGAAAATGGAAATTTAAAAATTGGTCTCTAACATGTGTATTGAATATAAGTAACATTTTAAATCATTAGGCTTTCTCAATGTTACCATAGGTATTCTGTTGAGACCAATCTGAAGAAGTAAAGAAATGTAAACATTATTAAGCAACATTACTACATTCTAATTTATACAATTCACTAAGACAAAGCTAAATATGCCCATAGAAAAGCGAGACAAAAGATTGGTTGAAAAATACAAAAACAAAGAAATATGAAAGGTTGAGAGATTTACAAAAAACTGTTTTTTAAGACATACACCAATAAAATTAAGATTAAAACTATGAGATTTGTATTTTTTTCTTATTAAGTGAAGGAAAAAAAACAGCTGTCAGTCCTTTGTTGCTTCAAAAGTAGGAAAGTAGACATTCTGATTAATAGCCATGTTTGAAATTTTAATTTTTTGGTAGAAATTTAGCAATATATGGGTTAATGTTTAAAAATGTTCATATCCTTGAATCCAAAAACTCCAATTATTATAATTTATTCAAGAGAAAATAGAGCAAAGGATATGATATGTAGTAGCATATAGCAAAATTAGGGAAAAGTTTGAATTTGATTTTAGTTTTGTTTCTTCTTCCTTTCAAAATACTGAATGAGGCTAGTTTCTGGCACTTTCCTCTGAGATTAACCTATAGGAAAAATGCCATATAAAAAATAGGACTCTGCAGAAGTCTTTGCAATGATGATTTAACAGTGGTGGTAGTTTTCATCTAAAGCAGGGGTCAGCCAGACAGCGAGCCTAAGAACCTACCTCAATTCTTGCTGTTACTACAGAATGGAGTTGCTGAAGAAAACAGGTGAGGGCAAGATAACTTCAGGAACCATCGATGTGGATGAAATACAGTCCAAGGAGAACCTCTTCCAGACAGATTCTGCTTTGTTTTTTTTTTTTTTTTTGGATAACCAAGATGAAATACCCATGGAAGATTTGTTTGAGTAAGAGGCAATTGACCTGAGTTTCCTGTTGCTTGGGGCTCTTCTTAGGGCTTATCTGTTTTCCATAGACCTCTCATTGGGTTGATGCAATCTCATGTTAACAAAGAAGTCAAACTTTGTGGGGAATATAAGTTTACAGAACAAAACACAAGGAGCACTGCTATTAAAAAAAAATGTCATATTGGATCATAGGTTTTATCAGAACCAGAAATGTTAAAATACATGATAAAATAATTTAAAATTAGTCTTATAGCATTTAAACAAGATGAGATGTTACTAGTATGATACAAAAAAAAAAAAACACAAAAAGGATCCAAAAAGAATATTGGATTTAAGAATCACAATGACCGAAACCAAAACCCAATAAATGTGTTAAAATATGGAAAGTGAGACTGCTGGTTATCAATAATGAGCTCTGCTCCCTCAGATGTTGAAGTATAACATTAGAGAAGCAGGAGGAGGCAAGCATATAAAGCAGGGTTTATTTAAAAAGAAGTAACACAGACTTTCCCCAGGAGGCAGATGGGGGCCATAGCTGGTGTCCTGATACCCCAAGAAGTAAGGGCCTTCTGCCTTTTTATGTGCCCTAGGCTTCCTTTGTTCTCTGGTCTCTTTCCCTTAACTCTCTCCTTCTTGTGTAAGTGACTAGGCCCAGGAGTTGCTTGGTAGGATGGCCAAAAGGTGAGATGCAAACTGGGCTGGAGGGGCCAAGGTAGAGAGATAAAGGCAGGAAGGGGACAAAATTCACAATTGATTCCCTGTAGGGAGGGACCATCCCTGGGACAGGTTACCTCAGCAACCGGTTGGAGAGGGGCAGGTTATCTTGTTAAGGTTGGAAGAAGGGCCCTGAAGGAATTAACATTTCAATCCCTCCATTAGCTGGATCCCACCTTTTCCTATCTGCCTGTCTAATTCTGGCTTCAAAAAGACTGTCAAACCAGAAAATTTAAATCTTCTAGACATAAAAACAAAGAATAAAATTAATAGACAATATTCAAAAATTAAGCCAAGAAATATGTATTTTTAAAGTGGAACAATGGAAATATTTAAAGATATTTTGAAAAAATAGATATTTTTACAAGAGTTTTAAAGAATGATAAAAAATTATATATAGTGGAAGATATGAGAAAAAGAAAAATCCCTATATCTGGATATATAATAATGGATTTAAGAACATTAAAAAGTCATAACACATTATAAAAATTTTGTGGAGACCAAAAGCTGGTCATATACAATAATAGATGATTTAGATATTTCACCAGCAACTGTGCAAAAAAAAAAAAAAACAAAAAAAACCCACTACCCCCAAAGAAAAACACCACAGAACAAAATTGTGTGTTTCAAAGCACTGAAGCAAAGGAAGAAGAAGATTAAAACAAACAAACAAACAAACAAACAAAAAACCTGAGGATTCTGGAGCTAGAGTGTCATTTAAGTTTTAAGAGATATGTATCTATTTTTTTTTTCTGTAATCCAAGCCCTCCAAGTTTGCAATGAAAACCAACCTTGAATAAGTGTTGGGTGAAGATTTTTAAATAAGTGAAAGAATAAGTCTGGAGATGTTGCAAGGGATCTATTAAGTTGTAGTCATGAATAAAATTAATCAAATATCTGGACAAATTTTATTTTTGTCTTAGAAAAGTTACTAGAGATTAAAGAACATCTCCCTCAAATATACACATATTTCACTTAGATATATTTATATATAAATATAACTTTAAATTATGTATCCAAAACTAGAATGCTAGGTATCATCAACTAAGTGTCCATCAACAAATAACAGATAAAGAAAATGTGGTATATATACACAGTGAAATACTACTCATCCATAAAGGAATGAAATCCTTTCATTTGTAGCGACATTGATAGAACATTATGCTAAATGAAATAAGTCAGACACACACAGAAAGACAAGTACTACATCATCATATGCATATGTAGAATCTAAAAATTGTCTCATAGGAGTTGAGTTAGTATGATGGCTACCAGAGATGGGAAAGAATAAGGATGAGGAGAAAATGGGGAAAGGTTGGTTGATGGATATAGTCATGGTTGAAAAGAGTGAAAAGACTGGTGCATATTAGGGTGACTGTGGTAACAATTATGTCCAATATATTTCAAAAAGCTTAAAGCGTTTGTACCATGAAAACATGGTAGTCAAGTTGATGGATAAGTTTAACCTAATTTAAACATCACATAATGTATAAACATTGAAAAATCCCATTATTGATTCCAAATGTTATGTTTTTATGTATCTATTAGAAACAAAATGTAGAAAAGTAAAAATCCTCTTAATGTATAAACTTACAGATTGACGTGTTGCTAATGTTCAGTCTACCAAAGAACATGGTATGACTTTATTGATTGATTGATTGATAGGTACTACATTTTGAACTCAGAAGCATTCAACCCTTGAGCCAAAACCCCAGCACATTTTATTCTTTATTTTGAGACAGGGTCTTGCTAAATTGCTCAGGGCCAAATTACTAAAGGTCTCACTACATTGCTAAAGCTGGCCTTGAACTTGGAATCCTCCTGCCTTACCCTCTGGAATGACTGGGATTACAGGTGTGCACTACCAAACGTGGCTATATTGGAAAGTTGAATAATTAATTATTGAGTGGATAGTAGGTAAATAATATGACAGAAATAAAGAGTTAAATCATGTTAAGGGATATCTAATATCTATTGAATAATAATACCAAGAGTGAACAGTACTCTTGACATGCTATGAAGGATATGGATATAGTTATGCTAATAATTGAGATTTTTCCAATGTATTGCTTTTTGACTATGTGTGAATGAAGCTCATATGGCAAACATTGAAATGACAAGATGATTATTTCTAAGGTAAAATTCAGATGTAGGAATTCAGGTCAACCTCATGGTTCCACAATCTCCTGGTCTCAGGCACCTCCAACTTTGTATTCTGTAATTCTTGCAATTGTGTCATGTGCTTAGGGATCAGGATTGAGGTTTATATTCATAATCCAAGTCACAATATGGAGGAAGGAAAGGAAAGTGGCATACTCCTTCCACTTATGTACATGCCCCAGAAGTCGTGGATGCCATCCATTTCTGTTTATGTACCAGTGGCCAGCACTTAGTCACATGGTTGTTTGTACAAGGGACACTGGAGAGTTAGTCCTAATTCTAGGAGACCATGTTCTTTGCTAAAATTTTAAGATTTCTTTTTTCTGAAAAAAATGGAGAAAGGAGATTTGTAGTTAATTAGCAGTCCCCCCACCCCATAAAATGGCTTTTCATTTCTTTCTCGAAGCAGAAATTTATAACTGGATCACACATATTATTTTAGTATACCTTCATATATTATTACAAATCCTAATATCTCTGGTTTCAATTATTCAATATTTCTTGTGAAATGTGTGAAAGTCTACATGAGAAGGAAGCATTTGAACACTATTGGGTGATATATTTTGTTACCATGATGTAGACTAGAAAACTTCTGGAAAGTTTTATGTTAACAAAATAGTTTCGTCTTATATATTATAAGAAACCTACTTTTGTATTTAGTTTCAGGCACAGTGTGGTGATACTGAAAAGGTGGCAAAACTGAATTATTTTAACTGATTAACTAACCTACCAATTTCCTCTACATCTATCTCTATCTGATCCAAAAGGGTGGGGGAAGCTAAATGATAGTAAGGTGTGATGCAAGAAATTATCATGACTTTCTCCTCCATTCTCTAATAAATACCCTGACACAACTTTAATCCCATGTTTTGGCACTATGGCTTTTCTTACTTGCTGGGCCTGTGTACTAGTTGGTTGTCTTTCTGCTTCTTTAACAAGAGCTTCTGACTTCTCTGACCTGTATCCTCCTCTGTGGAAGGAGAGTCCTGGTCAACTCAGTGATTACCCAGTGGAGAATGGAACGTACATTATTAATCCTTGGGTATTTTCTGAGAAAATGGGGGTGTATAAAATCTTATTGAACAAAACAGCCACTTATTTTGCAAAGTTTGCTCCAGGAAATGAACAAAATCTTTTATGGGGGTTGCCTCTGCAGCATGGCTGGCAATATACTTCAGGTAAGAAAGATTCTTATTTTCATTCTCATCATCTATCCATACAAACAAGAAGAGTTTGAAAAATAGGACTCTGAGTATGCCATACATGTTTCGAAAGTTAATTCCTTTTCTTTCCTCTTTTCTCCTCAGAACTATCATTTTCCACTCCCTCTTCTCCAGAAATCTTTCTCTTAAGCATTGTCTTTCTATTAGAAATTTCAATGATACAAAGCATAGTGACCAGCTGCAAAAAAAATGTCATATCTAAAGTACAAGCATCTACTGCACACCTGTTAGGTGGTTCCTTGTTTTTTTAAATACTAGGATGAATAGAAGAGACAAGGGAGGTACATTGCAAATAGAACATTATGTCAAACTAGTTTAAACTTCTTGAGTCTTAATTATGATGGCCTGATTATGGATATGGAGATATAAATGAGAAGCTACTTGTTCATGAAGATCTTTTTCTGCAACTGCCTGCTTTCCCTTGAAAATAAGTTACTTTCCAGTGCATACCCAGAAGATACATTTTGGTCTTGTAATATTTTTTTTTTGAGAGAGAGAGAGAGAGGGAATTTTAATATTTATTTTTTAGTTTTTTGGCAGACACAACATCTTTGTTTGTATGTGGTGCTGAGGTTCAAACCCGGGCCGCATGCATGCCAGGCAAGCGCGCTACCGCTTGAGCCGCATCCCCAGCCCACATTTTGGTCTTAAATACTCATGAGTCAATAAATATATTTTTTTCTTGTTGATAGAAAAAGCTTATGAGAAAGAGTGGTGACAATTGCCCAACACAGACGAAAAATAAATTATTGACAGAGAGAAAGAGAGGTGGTTGGAGGGGGTGAAAAGAGAAGAAGAGAAAGAATAAGGGAAAATGAAAATTTCATTTTAAGGAAAATAAATATTATTTTCAAATATCTATGCCACATACAGTCACCACATGAAAAACAATTGGTGATCTGTCTCATTTCACACAGCAACCTCGGTAACTCTTTACTCCATGTAAAATAACTCCTATAATTTTGATCAGAAGGTAGAGAAGGATGTAAAAATGTGAATACTTACAAAAGCCAAAAATCTAAGACCTATAACTCAAAAGTCAAAAACTATAATGTGGTTACTAAAAAGAAAAACAGTTGGTTGAGATATGGGTAATAAAAGCTGAAGAGTGATGGAAATACAAATACAAGTAATTCAGAAATAAATGTGCATCTACAAATAAATGTATCTACTTAAATGATGATAATAACTGTTTCACACTGTGCATTATAAATATTCTTGCACATTTTCTCTCTAGGCAGATTAGCTGATCCAAGCCAAAGGACAGACTGTGGCTATGAATCTGATCATCTGTGTGTCTCTGTGGACAGTTGGTGGGCCGGTAGGTTCACTTAGAGAGCAAAATAAATATTACCATTTCCCAAAAGAAGACATTCAACCTAAAACTTTCAGACTGAGACTAAACAAAATCAATACTCTTTCTTTTAAAAATGAATAAAATGAATCTAGGGTTGAGGGTGAGAGCTCTGTGGTAGAGTGCTTTACTAGGTTGAGCAAGGTCCTGGGTTCGATTACTGGCAGCATAGATAAATTAATAAACAAACACAACAGAATCAGTTTGACGTATTCCTAGTGGCCTTTATGTCATGTTATGGACTTTACTAGCCACAATGTTCATAATCATATATTCACCTTTTCACAGAACTCCAAGGGACCAATGCTGAGAGTTATATGGCATGTCCTGAAATTGACAGGGAATATTTGGAAAGTGAAAGACTAAGAAGTGTGAGATTAGGAAAACACTGCTTTTCATTCTGCTCAGATCAAATGTGTTAAGTATTAAAATTCATAAACATGTCAGAGAATAATACCTACTGCACTCCATTTTATCATTCAGTAATCCAGGGCTTCAGTTGTACACTTAATGCTAAATAACAAGAAATGATTTTCTATATCTTTAATTTCATGTTCAAGTCATGAAAATAAATTACAGAACAACATTTTAGAAATATTTTCCAATTATTAGAAACAAGAACACATTAAATTTTACTTTCTCAGAGTAACACTCATGATATATAACCCTATGTTTTTTCCTCTTGCTACCCTGGGTCTTTATTCTCAAAAACTCACCAACAGTTCTACCCACAGATCTAGAGTTTGAGTTTCATTGGTCTCGGATTAGTCTAGTAGTTTGAATCATTATCCTGTTACACTGGAGCATAGGACTGCATTCACAAATGCAGGGACAATCAGTATAAACCCAATATCTAATTAAATTAAGGTATCTAAATCTTCTGGAATAGGTTATCTGTAGGGAGATATTTTAAAGAGTCTTATTTAATTGTCAATCTAATTATTTATTAATCTAATGATTTATTGCCAGAACTTATAAATAAATTTGCTTTAGAGACACAGAATAAATAAAAAACCTAGTGATTACATGATAAACTTAAATATGTTAAATAGAAAAGATCCATTAATCAAAACTATAATCATGTTAAAATATTTTAGAAAAAAATACCCTTCACAGTACTACCTCAATGAGAGGTTTTGTATCATTCAATGGGCAATGTGATAGTTTTTTTTTTTCCTTTCTAATGTAGTGCTTTAAAAATAAATATTGCCCAATCCATTAAAAATGACCCTTTTCTTTAAAATATTATAATCAAGTACTTTAACCAATATATATTCATGAATATAGGATTATTAACTGAGGCACAACAAAGTTATCTATATGATTCCCAGAGGGATTCTGTACAATATTTTTTTCAATGTGCTAAAATGTTATCACCTTTCTGGATTTGTAAATTTCTCCTCAATGACCTGTGGCTTACTTAAATATATGCTCTTCAACATTTATTACTGCTTATGGTAATAATAAATCTTTTGTTCTTACAGATTTAAATTACTTTCTTAGTGTAATACCTTTCCTTGCTGCGGTTGATTCTGGCGTTCTGGGGATATCATCAGACCAAATCAGGTTTTTGCCACCACCCAAGGATCAGACGAGGTTTTGTTATGATGTTTCTGGCTGCCACTCATCCTTCTCTGAGATAATGAATAAATGGATTGACTTTTACCAGGTTTCTTCTTCAAGTTTTATAATTTATACTTTTAGCATATTAAAATAATTTATTTTGTTGTATAACTTTTTTGTTTAGGATTTTTTGTGCATTGTACAATATTTTTCTTAATATAAAAACATACATTGTTATGCTAGATACGTTTATAATGTATATTTTACTAGGGCATTACATGTCATTGACATTACCACCCCAATGCAGCATTAACACAAATTCTATGCATTCTTGTTTCCTCAAACAAACTACGATACAAATTGTCAACACACAGGCTATTCTACTGCAGGTGAATAGGTTAGTATGCTTAATTGGAATTTCAGGTCAACTGTAATTTTAGAAGAAATGTGGTAATAGAATTGTGTTTGGATCAATAATCTCATTTCAGCTAAATTAATAATTAATCACCTGTGGTAGAAGCAAACAATTATCTGTTGCTCTGAATTAAATATTCAATGACCAAAACAAAATACATTGGTCAAATATAGATATGGAATAAAATCCATAATGAAAAGATATATTTATTAGTTGTTTAGATTAATTCATTAATTTAGGTATAATTAAACTTAACATTACAACAGTTTTTTTCTTCTTGCTGTTCATATTTTATGATAATTTAATAATGTTTGTGGGAAAAAAGTGACAAAAAAGATTTCTGGCCAGTATAAAATATGGACTCTTTGAAGATATTTGAAGTTTACTTCTTCTAGATGCATGTGCTTTACTCAATATAAAAATTTTTCTTTTGCCCTTTACAAAGGGTTATAGACAAAGGCTTTATACCTATTAATGCTTAAAAACAAAATCTTCCTTTCATGTAGAATATTGTGATATTATAAATCTGAACAAAATTAAATTTCAGGCAGAGGAATTGTTAGAGTCTCTCAAATCCTAATAAGTTTCTCCTTTTCAGTATATGAAGTTACCTACTAGTAACTTTGATGACCTTTTGAAATACCTATGGGATGCACACACCATATCCTTGAAAACCTCTGTCAAATCTTTTGAAGATAGGTAAGAATGGATCTGAAGTCGTTTCTCTTTAATATGATAAATGATTTTTGTCTTATTCACACCATTTTCTTCTTCTTCTTCTAGAGTGATAGTATTTCTTCAATCAGTGTTGAATAGCAGGTCTAATCAATGGGAATTACATTGATGAGGAGTAAATAAGTTATCATGATCTAGTTTAGAAGGTATTTTATGATGAGGGGAGGAAATATGAGCCAAAAGAACTGCATTATAAAACAAATGACATGCAATGAACTTTTCTAATTTTACAAATCAAAATATAGAAATAAAGACAAGCATTAATTCTGAGGTTTCCTCTCTGCTTGGGGGATTTAGATTGTTCTTTTCAATATTCAGCTTTCACATTTTATGGTTTCTTTCTTGTTTTCTGAGTCTATTTCTTTTTATTGTCATTTTAATGGGGCTTTGGTGGGTGGCAAATGTGTAACTCTTTGTTACAAATTGGCATTTTTACTCAAAAAAACCTTTAACTTAGAACAGTCTTCTCTGTTGTTAACTGGGATCATTTCAGGATAGTTGTATTATATACTATTTATTTAGGTTACAATACACATTGTCTACTAATCTACCTCACTTGAAAGTTTGATAATAGCTCCTCAGGCAGTTTGAATCTGTCTGAAGGCCTATTGGTGAAAAGCAAATCTCTTAGTGATTACTATCATGGAAGATTCCAAATGTCTGTTCGGGTGTCCTCTCATTTGTCAATCCAGTTAATGAGAACTCTGCTTGTCAAGTTCTGTGAGCTATTTTGAGGTTCTAAGCTGTTGAGTGTTTCTTGAAATAAAGTAATAATGTGTAGAATAAGATTTTTATTTGGATTTCTACAGATCTGATTTTCAAATCTTGGCTCCATTTGACCTGGGAATCCAAAGAGTAAAAAAATCTCATTTTCTCATTTTTAAAGTGGCCGTGTACAGTACCTGCCAGGATAATTTGGGAACTAATTGAGAAATGCAGGCACCAAGTTAACAAATCACTGGTTCCTGGGATGAATTCAGTGCACAGTAATCACAGTCACCCAGGACAAGAGATAGGGAGGACAGTAAAACAAGGGTTCTAAAGGCAGATTGTCAAGGTTTATAACCTGGCTGTGAAGTATATAAGCTGTGTGACCCAGTATTTTATTAGCTTTGTTCAAAAGAAAGCAGCGTTATCTACACCATTAAACCTCAGTGTCATACCACCATGTTTCCTGCTTCCATGTGTGGATTCAGCAGGGTGACTCTGCTGGTGCTTCCTGGCCTCACTCTCAGGTGGGTTGATTCTGACCAGCACCAGTAGAGGTGATTGGGTAAGCTCTGCTCTGATGCACTTATCTCCTTTATCAGCTGGGTCTGGGCATTGTCCCTGGTAGTGGCAGAGTTGCAAGAGAGAAATCAAGTGTGAAAATTCACTTCAAGCATAAGCTTATGCTTCATCAAGTCATTTAATACTGACTTGATGAAGTGTCCAAATCAAGTCAAATGACCAAGCAGCAGTGGGGGTGGGAGGGTGTCAGGGGGTGGGGTTCTGCCTCTCACCTACTGCAGACTGGAAAATAACCTTAGAACCTAATCAGTTACCTTCTTCAGGCAAAAACATGATGAAGTGTTTATTTAAGTGAGAGATATAATACTGTGTGGCCTACACAAATTCCAATCAAGTTCTGTGGTCCCCGATTCTATGATGGGTTGATTCATAGATATCTATGTTTTCTCTTTATGAGAACCATTTAAAGTTTATTTTTTTATGGACATATTCTATTTCACTCATGGTCTTCACTAACCAATAAAGCATTCATATGAAGCATTTTCAATGCTTCTTCTGTTCTGTTGTTCATGTGTCCTGTGTGTTTTAAACCAGTTCCCTCATCCCTTTTCACCTCTCCTATGTCTTTGTCTCCCTTGCAATTTGTTCATTACACTGTTACTAGGGCTTAGTGGCTCTTACTCAATATCCATATGAACTGACATTTCCTTTCATTTTTGCTTGATAGAAAACTGATATATTAAGGGTACTGAAACCAACCCCAACCCTTGTCTTTAAGAATTCATTTCTGGCTACTCTACTAGTTCCAGGCTAGGGGTAGGTAGAGAGGATCCTACTAGCATGGGGGTCAAGGGGACAAGAAGTGTCCTCTGGGTTATTTTATGATTTACTTAACACTGTCAAGCTTCTTTTGTCTGGTGAATCCTACATGCGTAATGTCAAAATAAAATTAGATTGTCTAACTTTTAGAAATTAGAATATAATCTGATGTCATAACAAACCTTCAAATATGTGAATAGTGCCATGGCAACACAGAAGAGTGGGAAGTGCTTGATTTTATTTTAGGGGGAGTGGAAAACTTTTTGAAGAAAGAAAATGTTCCTGGTAAGTCAAATGGGGAGTGCAAAGTGTTTTATGGAGAACAAGAATGTTTGCTAAACTGCAAATTGTTTAGCATGCTTACACTGTTCATAGACACAGGAACCCTGAAATATATAGTCATAAAACCATTTACTACTTTCTAATGTAGTTATTTGTCACCCAAATAAATGAGATAATTCAGTTTTTAGGGGAATTCCTCCAGTAGATTTTTTTTTTTTAAACTGAAGCCATTTAGCAAACTAGACAAGAAAATTAGACCTCTATTTCACTAGAATGCGCAATGTTTTGGGGACTCCCTAACAACAGGAACCAAATTTTACCAAAAATGTCTAAATCCAGCAATAATTTTTACTTTAATCTTGATATTTTTTCTGTATGTTGCCAAGGAATATTATTTAAATGTATTCTTACATTCAGTTATTTTATGTCTTTTAAGTATAATGTGCTTAATTCAAAGCATAAAATGCAAACTAAAATATTAACAATAAAATATTTAAAATATTAAAACATTAGCAGATGCATTGATCCTTCCCAGACTGAATTTTAAAATTATGGTTCTTTGCATTTCCTGAAAAATGGACAGAATTCATCACATTAAAAACCTATCTTCTAAGTAGATACAGTATGAATATTATTTATCAGCAAGAGACCATATTTTCTGAAAGAGGGAGGTTGAAATCTGAGATGATTTACCAAAATTAAATACTTTTTTTCATTCTTTAGATATGCCTTTTACTCTGAAGAGGAATTAGAATTTGAGAAAAATTGGATTATTGCCGTGGAATATATAGGTGCATCCCGCATCCCTACAACTTTAATCAGAGTGCATAAATCCCAGAAGGGCCTTCCACCACGAATCCTTGTTAATACTGACAAAGCCCCTGTAATCAGTGACTTCACTGTTTTTCAGAACACCGTTTTGTTGGGTCTAAGCACTCTTGGCAAAGTGCATAAATCTTCAGGTAAGAATTTTAAAAGAACACTTCACAAATATCAAGATTATATCAAACAGCTAGCCAATGAATCAATTAAATCAAAGTATAGATGTCATAACATACTTCAAAAAGAAATTTATGATGTTCTATAGGTACCTTTTGCATTTTCTAGGTGCAATCATTCTTAATATATGGCAGGACCATTGAATGACTATGGTTCTCACCCTCATTGCCTGTTCTTTTATCTGGAGTCCATATTAAAGCTTGGGGTATAAAAAGATTGGATGATTTAACTATAATGATTTTGTTATTTTTCCGAGGTGCACTTTCTTTGATTTCATGGAAAATTGCAATGAAGACACAAACTTCAAGAAAGCTACTTCTAAAGACTTTTGATATACTTTTAGAAATATCTGAGTAAAAACTTCTCAAAATGGTTCAAGACTCGAAAATGGACCACTCTAAATTTTTGACAACCAATGACTTTTAAAAAATGAATATGATCACCATCATGTATCTTTGTCATTTCTGGTGTTTGAAAATTATGCTAATTTGTTAAGATTTGTCCATGCATTCCTACCATGAAATCCAATTTATTACTATGATTATTCTGTTCAAGCAATATTTCTTGATTTTTAAATTAATCAATATTTAAATTTTAAGATATAAGGAGACTGCATGAAGCTACCAAAAGAATCACTATAAAATTAGTAAATAGCTATTAAACTTGTACATCTCTTTTTGGTGTTATTCTATGTAACATAATTTCATGAAACTCAAAGGGATATACTCTGCTGATTCAAAACTAAAATCTGGAACAGTGTGAAATAAAATAGAAGCAGTCAATTTAAATGTCTATAATTCATAACACTGAACTGGCAAAGTATATACTGATTCATCAATTTTTTTGTGAATGTTTCTGCAGAACCCAAGTTTATAGCAATTACTTGATATATATCAAGTTTCCTTCTTTGACCCATAGTTGATAATGAAAAATCCAGGGTCAATTTTTTTAGGGATGTTTCTTTTTAGGAGAAAGAATGTCCAGGAGATGGTGATTTCCAGGTTTTCTAATGTAGGTTTTCTCAGGGTTTAGTTCACAGATTAAATCTACCCACCACCTATTGGTAAGTGAAATTGAATAATTTGGTTTGAATAACATGAACTTTGAAGTAGAAAAGTTGTAATTGTAATATCAGCTCTGCGACTAGCCAGTACTGGGTCATTGTTCCAGTGCCCTCTGTATTTCAGGTTGCTTATTGTTATAATAATTAATATGAATCCTAGTTTGCAGGATTATTTTGAGGGTCAATGAAAACATGAATGAAAGGTGACTAACACTCTTCCCAACATGAGGTAGAGATGCATAAAAAGCAGCAGTTGTCACAATAATTGAACTGAGAGATGAAGAGATGAATGTATGCTCTTATGCTCTGTTGGTGGGACAAGCAACAATATATTAAACTGACAAGGGAGGCCTTAAGTGAAAATATGCACACTGTGTAGTAAAACTCCAAATCTTCTTCCTTATCTAGAATTTCATCATGTGATAAACCAGGTCTTCCCTCTTAAAGCAGTAAATGGGAAATTTCTCATATTCAGTCAACTCAGGAAGAAAGGCATAAACTTACTGGAAAAATTTAGTGACCTAAATTTCCCAGCCCATACTCTGCAGTACAGCAGTGACCAATCATTAGTTCAGCTCAAAGAGTTTTGAATCAGCTCTTTACTGCTCCTATTTTAAATATATAAGATATACCATGAATGAATATGACATATTACACAAAGCAATAAATAGAAAGCTGCAGAAAATACTGGAAATTAAATAATTATAATTAATATTCTAATATTTACAGAATATTATCAATGTTTTGTTGCAAAAGAAAAGCAATACGATACTATAAAATCCTCATAGACATCAGTGCTGTTCCTTATTAGGCCTCTTTTTAGAAAGCAATACTTTTAGCTTCAGCTTTGACTTTTATTTCAAATGCAAAGTGCTGATCTCTCTTTGAGAGTTGTTATCACAAATGTTATATTTATTGTAGCGTAATTTTGCAGTTGATTGGGAAATCTAAAAATGAAAAACATAGTATTTTATAAAAAATATATTGCGACTCTAGTGACTTTAAGATCTAATTGTGCTGTTGATAGTCCCTTTTCTCTTGTCTAATAGCCTCATCCCTTCTTTGTAGTCCTTGGAAGTAGGTTCAGTAGTTGAGTCATAGCAGTAAGCTATAAGGATGGCTACAATCCTAGTTCATTTCTAGGACATGCTAAGGGAGCAAACTCTTTGCATCATGCAGTATAAATATCAGCCACTTAAGCAACACTAAGAGACAAAATACACAAAGCAATGTGAGCCTCCTGACTCTGTTTTATTTATCTAAAATGGATATAGGATCAGTGGGAAAGATAATAGTAGGTAGTTAATAAGAAATCCTCAGCTATGTATGTTTGAATTTAAACACATTTTTAAAAACACTCACCCATTCTTTCTTTATTTCTACCTGGTACTTCACTCTTGATAGAAGATACCATTCCTAATACAGCATTTTTGCTTCCGCACTACGTCATGCTCTCTTTCAACTTCATTTTCTGTGCAGTGGGGAAATTTTCGACATCATTTTAGTTATCTGGCATAATAAAAGAGATTATTCTTTGAATTTCCTTCCAAATATGTGTTAACCAAGCGATAGTCTTTGATCAAAATGATGTGGAAATCCTATTATCATTTGTCATTGTGTCATTTTGGTTTATAGATCCTAGTTTGTGCTAAACTTTTAAAAACTAACCTTTTTTTTTAATTTTTTATTGTTGGCTGTTCAAAACATTACATAGTTCTTGATATATCATATTTCACAATTTGATTCAAGTGGGTTATGAGCTCCCATTTTTACCCCATATACAGATTGCAGAATCACATCAGTTACACATCCATTGATTTACATATTGCCATACTAGTGTCTGTTGTATTCTGCTGCCTTTCCTATCCTCTACTATCCCCCCTCCCCTCCCCTCCCCTCCCCTCCCCTCCCCTCTTCTCTCTCTGCTCCCTCTACTGACATTCATTTGTCCCCCTTATATTATTTTTCCCCTTCCCCTCACTTCCTCTTGTATGTACTTTTGTATAACTCTGAGGGTCTCCTTCCATTTCCATGCATTTTCCCTTCTCTCTCCCTTTCCCTCCCACCTCTCATCCCTGTTTAATGTTAATCTTCTTCTCATGCTCTTCGACCCTACTCTGTTCTTAGTTACTCTCCTTATATCAAAGAAGACATTTGGCATTTGTTTTTTAGGGATTGGCTAGCTTCACTTAGCATAATCTGCTCTAATGCCATCCATTTCCCTGTAAATTCTATGATTTTGTCATTTTTTAATGCAGAGTAATACTCCATTGTGTATAAATGCCACATTTTTTTTATCCATTCATCCATTGAAGGGCATCTAGGTTGGTTCCACAGTCTAGCTATTGTGAATTGTGCTGCTATGAACATCGATGTAGCAGTGTCCCTGTAGCATGCTCTTTTTAGGTCTTTAGGGAATAGACCGAGAAGGGGAATAGCTGGGTCAAATGGTGGCTCCATTCCCAGCTTTCCAAGAAATCTCCATACTGCTTTCCAAATTGGCTGCACCAATTTGCAGTCCCACCAGCAATGTACAAGTGTACCCTTTTCCCCACATCCTCGCCAGCACTTGTTGTTGTTTGACTTCCTAATGGCTGCCAATCTAACTGGAGTGAGATGGTATCTTAGGGTGGTTTTGATTTGCATTTCTCTGACTGCTAGAGATGGTGAGCATTTTTTCATGTACTTGTTGATTGATTGTATGTCCTCCTCTGAGAAGTGTCTGTTCAGGTCCTTGGCCCATTTGTTGATTGGGTTGTTTGTTCTCTTATTGTCTAATTTTTTGAGTTCTTTGTATACTCTGGATATTAGGGCTCTATCTGAAGTGTGAGGAGTAAAGATTTGTTCCCAGGATGTAGGCTCTCTATTTACCTCTCTTATTGTATCTTTTGCTGAGAAAAAACTTTTTAGTTTGAGTAAGTCCCATTTGTTGATTCTAGTTATTAACTTTTGTGCTATGGGTGTCCTATTGAGGAATTTGGAGCCCGACCCCACAGTATGTAGATCGTAGCCAACTTTTTCTTCTATCAGACGGCGTGTCTCTGATTTGATATCAAGCTCCTTGATCCATTTTGAATTAACTTTTGTGCATGGCGAGAGAAAGGGATTCAGTTTCATTTTGTTGCATATGGATTTCCAGTTTTCCCAGCACCATTTGTTGAAGATGCTAT